TCCAGCTTGCACTTCTGGGAGTTCTCGATCCACATACTGCTTGAGCCTTCCTTGTAGAATTTTAAGCATAACCTTGCTAGCGTGTGAAATGAGTGCAATTGTGCGGTAGTTGGAGCATTCTTTGGCACTGCCCTTCTTTGGGATTGGGATGTAGACTGATCTTCTCCAATCTTCTGGCCACTGCTGAGTTTTCCAAATTTGCTGGCATATTGAGTGTAGCACCTTAACAGCATCATCTTTTAAAATTTTAAATAGTTCAGCTGGAATACCATCACTTCCACTGGCCTTGTTATTTGCAGTGCTTTCTAAGGCCCATTTGACTTCACTTTCCAGGATGTCTGGCTCAAGGTCAGCAGCCACACTACCTGGGGTGTACGAGACATCCATATCTTTCTGGTATAATTCCTCTGTGTATTCTTGCCACCTCTTCTTGATGTCTTCTGCTTCTGTTAGGTCCTTACCACTTTTGTCCTTTATTATGGTAATCTTTGTACGAAATGTTCCTTTCATATCTCCAATTTTCTTGAACAGATCTCTGGTTCTTCCCATTCTGTTTTTTTCCTCTATTTGTTTGCATTGCTCGTTTAAGAAGGCCTTCTTGTCTCTCCTTGCTATTCTTTGGAAATCTGCATTCAATTTCCTGTATCTTTCACTATCTCCCTCGCATTTTGCTTGCCTTCTCTCCCCCGCTATTTGTAAGGCCTCATTGGACAGCCACTTTGCTTTCTTGCATTTCCTTTTCATTGGGATGGTTTTAGTTGCTGCCTCCTGTAAAATGTTACGAGCCTCCATCCATAGTTCTTCAGGCACTCTGTCCACCAAATCTAAATCCTTAAACCTGTTCGTCACTTCCACTGTGTATTCATAAGGGATTTGACTTAGATTGTATCTTACCGGCCCAGTGGTTTTTCCTACTTTCTTCAGTTTAAGCTTGAATTTTGCTATAAGAAGCTGATGATCTGAGCCACAGTCAGCTCCAGGTCTTGTTTTTGCTGACTGTATAGAGCTTCTCCATCTTTGGCTGCAGAGAATATAATCAATCTGATTTCGGTGCTGCCCATCTGGTGATGTCCATGTGTAGAGTCGTCTATTGTGTTGTTGGAAAAGCGTGTTTGTGATGACCAGCTTGTTCTCTTGACAGAACTCTATTAGCCTTTGCCCTGCTTCGTTTTGATCTCCAAGGCCAAACTTGCCAGTTGTTCCTTTTATCTCTTGCCTCCCTACTTTAGCATTCCAATCCCCTATAATGAGAAGAACATCCTTCTTTGGTGTCACTTCTATAAGGTGTTGTAAGTCTTCATAGAATTGGTCAATTTCAGCTTCTTCAGCACCAGTAGTTGGTGCATAAACTTGGATTACTGTGATGTGAAAAGGTCTGCCTTGGATTCGTATCGAGATCATTCTATCATTTTTGAGATTGCATCCCAGTACAGCTTTCGCCACTCTTTTGTTCACTATGAGGGCCACTCCATTTCTTTTACGGGTTTCTTGTCCACAGTAATAGATATGATGGTCATCCGAACTGAATTTGCCCATTCCCGTCCATTTTAGTTCACTGATGCCCAGGATGTCAATATTTATTCTTGCCATCTCATTTTTGACCACCTCCAACTTACCCAGGTTCATGGTTCTTACATTCCAGGTTCCTATGCAATATTTTTCTTTACAGCATTGGACTTTCCTTTCGCTTCCATGCATATCCGCAACTGAGCGTCCTTTCGGCTTTGGCCCAGCCGCTTCATCAGCTCTGGATCTACTTGTACTTGCCCTCCGCTCTTCCCCAGTAGCATGTTGGACGCCTTCCGACCTGAGGGGCTCATCTTCCAGCGTCATAACTTTTATATGCCTGTTGTCTTTGTCCATGGAGTTTTCTTGGCAAGGATACTGGAGTGGCTTGCCGGTTCCTCCTCCAGGTGGATCACGTTTGGTCCAAACTCTCCACTATGACCTGTTCATCTTGTGTGCCCTGCTCGGCGTAGTTCATAGCTTCTCTGAGTTCTTCAAGCCCCTTCGCCACGGCAAGGCAGTGATCCATGAAGGGGAGTAGCACCTTAAAGACCAACTAAGTTAGTTTTTGGTATGAGCTTTCGTGTGCATGCACACTTCATGTACTTCTGTTTCAGTGTATCTGAAGAAGTGTGCATGCACACGAAAGCTCATACCAAGAACTAACTTAGTTGGTCTTTAAGGTGCTACTGGAAGGAAATTTTTTTGTCAGGGCATCACTGCAATGCTTAGGCAGGGAAGGCAGCTCAGCCTTTGGCAGGTTGATTGAGCGCCTCCTGCTGGACAGACAATGGAAGGAGCTTCATAAAATGTCTCCATTCTGGTATCGGTTGCCCAGAAGTGGTACAATGTATCTTTTGAACTTGGCTGAAGGGGGAAACATACAAAATCTTCAGAAATTCACATAAAACCAGTGCCTCAACCGCTTGGTTCCATTCCAATGGCATTTTCCTCCCACTGGGAAGGTGGATCTTCGGCACAGCCCTCCTCCATAATCCCACCGGCTTATGGTCACGTACACCTCACCCCTTCCCAGGAGGAAACAGAGGAAGGAACAGGAGGGGCAACAATGAACCAGGCAGAAATTCATTGGTGAAGGGAACTGGAACCAGGTACTCTCAAAGCCCAAACTCAGGAAAGCCCGAAGGTAGAGAGAAGTGTAAAAGGTTTTATTCTTCTTTGGGAAGCGGATACTTAGAAGGTGATTGACAGGAAATAGGGGTGATTGACAGTGGTGGGTGAGGGACTCATGCTACCCCATGACCACCACTCCCTCTTTATGGCATATTTGTGATGTAACGGTGAGGCTGTTCAAAAATGTATTATGAAGTAGAGGACTTCATATATTTCTTTTTCTACTGCCCTATATATGAGATAATAAGAACTAAGCTCCTCCTCTTGATCCCGTCCACCATTACATCTAAGGAAGACTGTTTGAAATCGCTTCTTGTGGACGCAAATCCCCAAATTACACGTGGGGTGGCAATCTTTATAGTGCAGGCTTTGAAACTCAGGGCTACTCTGACTGGTTAGTGTGTTCTAGACCTGGACCTGTTTTAATTCTTTTATAACCTTTTAACCTAAGGTGCCGAGCCTATTTTGGGCCAATATATGCTTTTATACATCTCCATTTTAGACTCCTGGCGTTGGCAACTAAATTTTTACATTATTGTCTTAGGGTAATTTTAAATGTCATCACGCCAGTATTTTCGCTTTGAATTCTGTTTCGTTGCTTGTCTCTAGCATTCTTGTCTTATCCTGCTATAAAGGTTTGATTGATTGATTGATTGATTGATTGTATTATGGGAAAGGGGGGGAGAGGTCTTAAAAGTTCACGCAACCCAATTCCTACTCCAGTGTGGTGTAGTGGTTAAGAGCAGTGGACTCGTAATCTGGTGAACCGGGTTTGATTCCCTGCTCCTCCACCTGCAGCTGCTGGGTGACCTTGGGCCAGTCACACTTCTCTGAAGTCTCTCAGCCCCACTCAAATCACAGAGTGTTTGTTGTGGGGGAGGAAGGGAAAGGAGAATGTGAGCTGCTTTGAGACTCCTTCGGGTAGTGATAAAGCGGGATATCAAATCCAAACTCTTCTTCTAATTCTTCTTTGTGTGTTTGAACCTTGTTGCAACAAATAAAGATCAGGTCTACTGACCACTGTTTTGCAACTTTCACTTGGCTGGAGACTCCTTCTTTTGCTGACCGGAGGGACCCGCGGGGAGTGGCACCCTGACGAGCTGGGCAGCGAGTAAATCCACATGCCAGGTTTTTTCCCCCTTATAAACTCTCTTCCACCTGAGCTTCATCTCCTTACCTAAAAGCCTGACACCCGCAATGTGACAGGATTGTGACTCCTTCCCGCAGCAAAACAAATAGCTCTCCCCAGATGCAGAGGCTCAGGAAAGCTTCAGGGAGCTCAACAACCCCTCCAGGAAAGCAAAAAGCTCAACAACTTTGGTCAATCCAATGGGTAGATCATTGCCTGCCTGCTCTAGGAGACCCCGGGAGAGGTCGCAGCAGGAGGGGGAATCTCTATGGATGCTTCAGCAGCCGGCCTCCTCTGGGTCTCCAGGCCCCCTCCTCTCCTCCCTCTGAGCCTGAACTGCTCTCTGCCTCAGACTCTTCCTGCTCACCAAACCCTTTCCCCTCCTCAGCTTGCAACACCTCCCCTCCCGTTCTGCTCCCCTTTCTCCCTCTTTCGGCTCATCACCATCCCACCACCAGTCCCCAGGATCTGAGCCTTCTTCCATTGTGGACACCTTCTTCCCCAGCTGGTGCTCCCCCCCTTGCACCTAGCCAGTCCATGACAGCAAAAGCAGCCACAGCAGTATGATGGTAATATGAACTGTGGTCCTCTGGCAGGAAAACTCCTGAGTAGCAAGATTGAATAAAAACTTCTGGGACTATGGAGAGGTAGCTCTGGGGTTGCCCCATGGGGTTCATGAGTGAAGATGAGGCCCCCAGGAGACTTCCTAGGTACCTGCAGTCCCTGCTTCGCTCTCTTGAAATTAGGCTTGGGGGGGAAATCTCCTATTCAATTTCAGTATTTCAAGTTTTCTTCAGAATGCGCAGGAGGCAGGGATGAAGTTTGGGTGAAGAAGCAATGTTTGGAGATCATGCGGTGGTGTGTGTGTGACAGAGTTTGGTGCAAAAAACATCTTGCATGCTTGAGTAGAGCAACTCCAGGGCATGAGCCAAGTATCGGCAGGGTAGGGGCCACGTGTAGAGCAAGTCCCACACTGAGGTCAAAAACACACACAGAGGCAGCAGGACTTCTTCAGTAATAGTTTACTGAGCTTTCAAAGCATACAGTTCTCACTGGGTCCCCAGTGAGGCACAAAACTTTGCTTCTGAGAGCAAATCCAGTTTCAGCAGTAAAAAAAATACAACATGCAGGATATCTAAGTCAGGCACACAAACCGGCAGAAGGGAGCAAGGGAGGAAAGAGGCTGGAAGGACACAGGGCAATGGAGGTGTGCCTTTCGCTTCCTGTCATCTGGGAGGGAAGTCAGCAACTCGGCATCTGCAGGGGCTTCACGAAGGAAAGCTTTCTGCCAGCTGCTTCCAGGCAAATGAGCATCCCAGAAATCCAGATTCACCAACTCCCCCTCACTATCAAAAGGTACCTTACATCTAAAATTATACTCACTAGAGTGAGACGTTACCTTCATTATTTCATTACTATACAGTTTTACATATAAAGAGCAGAACCTCAAATACATGACATGCTTTTAAGATGGATTTCCTGCTGAGTTCATTGCTGTGAACAGAAGAATGGACTCTGAAAGGAACATGTTCCTCACTCCATACATCTAAATGGGTTCTCCCCTCTGAGTCCCTAGATGTTCCTTAAACACTCCATTATAACTAAAGCACTTTCTGCAATCTTTCCCTTTAAACAGCTTCTCCTCTTTGAGGGTTGATGGGTTTGTAGGGGGTCAACTGTTAAAGTTCTTCCTGTCCATGAGTCTGTAGATGTAGGACTTCCACTAGGACTGAACCTCAATATACTTTCCTGACGTTTATATGGTTTGTCTCTTGTGGGAGTTTGTTGATGTAAATCAAGGATTCCACTCTGACTGAAGCTCCTTCCACATGTCATACATTTAAATGGTTTCTCCCATGTGGGTCTGCTGATGTTTTCTAAGATTTCCACTCTGACTGAAGCATTTTCTGTAAACCACACCTTTAAATGGTTTCCCCCTTGCCTGTGTGAGTCCGTTGATGTGTTCTAAGGGTAGATGTGTAACTGAAGCTCTTTCCGCACTCCATGCATTTAAATTGTTTCTCCTTTGTGTGAGTCCGTTGGTGTAATTTAAGGCTTCCATTCTGATTGAAGCTCTTTCCACATTCCATACATTTAAATGGTTTCACCCCTGTGTGAATCAGCTGATGTGTTTTAAGGGTAGATGTGTAACTGAAGCTCTTTCCGCACTCCATGCATTTAAATGGTTTCCCCTCGCCTGTGTGAGTCCGTTGATGTGATCTAAGTGCAGGATTGCAACTGAAGCTCTTTCCACACTCCATACATTTAAATGGTTTCTCCCCTGTATGAGTCCGTTGATGTATTCTAAGGTTTCCAATCTGCCTGAAGCTCTTTCCACACTCCATACATTTAAATGGTTTCTCCCCTGTGTGAGTCAGTTGATGATTTCTAAGGTGTGAACTCTGACTGAAGTCCTTTCCACACTCCATGCATTTAAATGGTTTCTTCCCTGTGTGAGTCAGTTGATGTTTTCTAAGGTTTGTATTGAACCTGAAGTCCTTTCCACACTCCATACATTTAAATGGTTTCTCCCCTGTGTGAATATTTTGATGTTTCGTAAGGCTTCCACGATCACTAAAGCTTGTTCCGCACACCATGCATTTATATGGTTTTTCCCCTGTATGTGTCCGTTTGTGCATTCTAAGGGTTCCACTCTCACTAAAGCTCTTTCCACACTCCATACATTTAAATGGTTTCTCCCCTGTGTGAGTCCGTTGATGTATTCTAAGGCTTCCAATCCGACTGAAGCTCTTTCCACACTCCATACATTCATGTGGTTTCTCCCCTGTGTGAGTCCGTTGATGTAATCTAAGGCTTGCACTGAAACTGAAGCACTTCCCACACTCCACACATTTATATGGTTTCTCCCCTGTGTGAGTCCGTTGATGTGATCTAAGGCTTGCATCATAAGTGAAGCACTTCCCACACTGCACACATTTATATGGTTTCTCCCCTGTGTGAGTTCGTTGATGTATACTTAGAGCTCCACCCTGACTGAAGCTCTTTCCACACTCCATACATTTAAATGGTTTCTCCCCTGAATGCCTCTGTTGATGTTTATTGAGGTTTCCAATTTGACTGAAGGCCATCCCACATTCCGTACATGTAAATAGTTTCTCCCCTGTGTGAGTCCCCTGATGTATTCTAAGTGTATCTCTTCGACGGAAGCTCTTTCCACACTCCATACATTTAAAAGGTTTCTCCCTTTTGTGAGTCCGTTCGTGTAATTTAAGGTGTCCCCTCTGACTGAAGTTCTTCCCACACTCCATACATTCATATGGTTTTTCACCTGTATGAGTCCGTTGGTGTAATTTAAGGTTTCCATTCTGTCTGAAGCTCTTCCCACACTCCTTGCATTCATATGGTTTTTCATCCAGGTGAGTCCGTTCGTGTAATTTAAGGCTTCCACTCTGATTGAAGCTCTTCCCACACTCCATACATTCATATGGTTTTTCACCCGTGTGAGTCCGTTCGTGTAATTTAAGGTTTCCATTCTGACTGAAGTTCTTTCCGCACTCCATGCATTTAAATGGTTTCTCCCCAGTGTGAGTCCGTTGATGTTTTCTAAGGCTTCCACTATCACTAAAGCTCTTTCTACACTCCAGACATTCATATGGTTTTTCACCCGTGTGAGTCCATTCGTGTAATTTTAGTTGTCTACTCTGACTGAAGTTCTTCCTACACTTCCTGAATCCTTTCTTGCCCATGTGAGTCCGCTGATGTGTTCTATGTTTTCCACTGTCAGTTAAACTCTTTCCACTCTCCATACCTTTAATTGGTTTCTCCCCCGTTTGAGTTCATTGATGTGAACTATGTGTGCTCATTCAGTGAAGCATATTCCACATTTCACACATTTCAATGGCTATTCCTAATAAAACCAAAGGTGCCCCATTCTCCAGAATTCTGACGTTCTTCTCCATCACCATCTTCAGAGTGGGAGGAAAGGAAATCCTGTTTGGGTTTCAGGGGAGAGAGTGCAGGAAAAAAAGGCGCATCAAACTCCATTAGCACCTTCTCTTATTTCAACATCTCCTACATTCTCCCATGTCCTACCCATGTTCCCAATTTTTAGGAAATGAAAATGGTATGATGTCTAATGGTAGTAATGCATCAGCAACCTTTCATAATCCTCAATCATCTTTAATAACACAGCATGATCTTGGAATACTGTTGTCTTGTGGGACTGCCTTTCAAATCAAGTGGTTGCCCCGTTTCCACCTCTAGTTCTTCATGAATCACCTGCACAGTCTCACTGACCTCAGGAGGTCCATATGGACTCAATCTGAATTTGGCCAGACACATGTTAGAGCTCAACATTGAAGGTTAACAACAGGAAGATTTAAAGGAACTATTGGAAAGACTATTCAAGGCAGCAGAGATATGAGATGATCAGAGCCCCCCAAACTTGAAACATGGGGAGTCCCAACAAAACAAGTATAATTTAGGCAGAATATTTGGACTATTTGATATGTATTTGTATAATTTGGAACATTCAGTGTGATTTGATTGGATTGTTAAAATGGGAAACTTAATAAAAATGATTTTTTAAAAAAGAGCTCAACAAGTGGCAATAGGGATGGCAAAGATGACCTTCTTCACCGCCTCTACTGCATCTGCAGAAAACAGCAGCAGGAGACTCTTTCAGGTGCTTTGCAATTTAATGGAACCACTTGCTCCATTGGGGCAAGGTAAGGCCCCCAAGGTCTCCTGCAATTATTTTGCAAAGCTTTTTGCAGATAAAGTCGCTCAGATTTGGAAAGAGGTAGACTCCACCTTGGGAGCAGGGCCAGGGCGGGAGAGTGCTGGAGTCCTGCCCAGTCAAGCTGTGTGGGATCAATTCCAATCTGTTACCCCCGAGGATGTGGACAGGCTGCTTGGACGAGTGAAACCAACCACTTGTCTCCTTGATCCTTGCCCATGCTGGCTCATAAAAGTGATCTGGGAAGGTCTGGGTGATGGACTCTGTGGGGTGGTGAATGCTTCCCTCTGTGAGGGAGCCTTCCCAGACCAGCTGAGAGAGGCGGTTATTAAAAAGTTTCTTAAAAAAACATCTTTAGATGCAGCCAAAATGGCCAACTATCACTCAGTTTCAAATCTTCCACTCTTGGGCAAGGTGATTGAGCGATTGTTTGCTGAACAACTCCAGGCACACCTGGAGGATGCAGATGATTTCAATCCATGCGAATGATACCCAGCTCTACCTCTCTTTTAAATTGGAACCAGTGTAGGCAGTGAATGTCCTGTTTGGGTGCCTGCAGGTGTTTGGAGGATGGATGGCGGCTAACAGATTGAGGTTGAACCCTGACAAGACAGAAGTACTGTCCCTGGGGGACAAGGGTGGGCAGGTGGGGGTGGGATCCCTGGTCCTGATGGCGTAACTGTGGCCCTGAAGGACCAGGTGCACAACCTGTGAGTCATTTTGGACTCACAGCTGTCCATGGAGGCACAGGTCAATTCTGTGTCCAGGGCAGCTGTCCACCAGCTCCATCTGGTACGCAGCATGAGACCCTACCTGCCCGCAGACTGTCTCGCCAGAGTGGTGCATGCTCTTTTTATTTCCTGCTTAGACTACTGCAACACGCTCCTTGAAGGTGTTCCAGAAATTGCAACTAATCCGGAATGTAGCAGCTAGACTAGTGACTGGTAGTCGTCACCTAGACCATATAACACTGGTCCTGAAAGACCTACATTGCCTCCCAGTACATTTCCAAGCAGAATTCAAAGTGTTGGTGCTGACCATTAAAGCCCTCAAGGACCTCAGCCCAGTATACCTGAAGGATTGTTTCCACTCCCATCGTCCAGCCCAGACACTGAGGTCCAGCTCTAAGGGCCTTCTGGCGGTTCCCTCCCTGTCAGAAGCAAAGTTACAGGGAACCAGGCAGAGGGCCTTCTTGGTATCGGAGCCAGCCCTGTGGAACACCCTCCCATCAGATGTCAATCTAAATAAACTATCTGACTTTTAGAAGACGTCTGAAGGCAGCCCTGTTTAGGGAAGTTTTTAATCTTTAATGTTTTATTCTGTTTTTAATGTTCTGTTGGAAGCCACCCAGAGTGGCTGGGGAAACCCAACCAGATGGGCAGGCTATTATAAATTATTATTATTATGTCATTATTTTGGGATTCCCAGGCCTGCGTCTTTTCTGAGGACTGTGGTCTGGGTCAGTCAGAGAACAAGTGACAAGGCTTGGTGCTTGGGGTCAGCTGAATGGGTGCTCAGGGAAGCTCCTGTTCTCGGAGATGGACCTCTGTCTACATGCCTCACATTGCATGGAGAGAGTAGGAGAAGCAGAAGGAAAGCAGCTGGCACATGGGAATCCCAGGCGGAAACACCCACCCCAAAGGTTCTTTATAATGATGATGTGCTGCCTGATCCTCTGCTTGTCTTCTGATAGAGGACTATCCTAATCTGGCACTGAAAAGCAGGATATTCAAGGCAAGGAGATAACTGTACTTAATGGAAACTTCATCCTTGAATGTATAGTATTGATTCATTAATGGCCTGAAGTCGTGGTATTTCTGGAGACATGAATTTCTTCCTGTTCTGTCTCAAATATCATAATTATATGATGTCATGGGCTGTTAGGGGAGCGGTAGTACCTTTGGTGGGGGACATGTCATGCACCTTCTGGGGTTATTTATCCACCATTGGTCCCCACCCTGCACTCAGCTCTCACCTGTGGCTTCTAGAAGCTGTCAGGATGAATCAGGGGCCACAATCCCAGGAATGGCTCACCGGCCGGCAAAACCAGGTGAGGATAGCTGATGGGTCTCAAATCCTTGGTGGGTTGGGGAATTCTGCTGCAGGTGAAGGCAGGCCCTGGTGGATAGAGAGGATGAGAACAACAGTGAATCCCACAGTCAAGAAGGCAGATTCTGCCCGTGCTGAAGAGGAAAGTGAAGGGCAGATGGGGCACATCCACCTGGGAAGGGAGCCCATTGAGAAGGAAAACTCTGGTCCTAAACCTTCACTGCCTCTTGAGTTGTCTTCAGGAGAAGAAAAGGCTATGGAAGGAAACCCACACAAATCCAGAGTGGAGTCTCTAAGACAGTTGGATGGTGTCCTGCACACCTTCTTCATTCAACTCCTGCAGCCAAGCTGGTGCCCAACCTACTGCTCTGCTTTCCTTGGGATCATATCAGCCAGGCTGAGAAGGGGGTCTGGTAGTCTAGGCAGCCCAGAACCCCCAAACACACTGCCCAGACTTCCATCCGGTGGCCCCATCAAAGCTTTTAAAAGTATTGCAGCTGAAGCTGTTGTGGGCTGCAGGACCAAGAAAGGTCCTGCCACCATTATCCTTCCAATCGTGATTCAAGCCACATAATGAGATTGAAACTGCCCTGGTTGATGATCCATGATGGGTTAGAGGCTGAGGGTGAAGCTATTTCCTGGTTCTGCTGGATCTCAGCGGCTTTGGAGACCTCTGACCATTGTATCCCTCTGGACCCTCTAGGGGAGCTCGGGCCCTGTTATACGGTGGTTCCCCTCCTTCCTCCTGGGCCGTGTCCAGAAAGTGGTGTTGGGGGATGAGTGTTCAGACCCCTGTGTGCTCCCCTATGCTTTTTAATATCTATATGAAGCTGCTGAGAGAGATCATCAGGGGGTTTGGGCTGGGTGTTCACCAGTATGTGGATGATACCCAGCTCTTCCTCTCTTTTAAATTGGAACCAGTGAAGGCGGTGAATGCCCTGTGTGGCTGTCTGGAGGTGATTGGAGGATGGATGGCAGCTAACAGATTGAGGTTGAATCCTGACAAGACAGAAGTACTGCCCCTTGGTGACAGGGGACAGACAGGTGTGGGCGACTCCCTGGTCCTTGATTTTGAACTCACAGCTGTCCATGGAGGTCATTTCTATGTCCAGGGCAGCTGTCTATCAGCTCCATCTGGTGCTCAGGCTGAGACCTTCCCTGTCCGCTGACTGTTTTGCCAGAGTAGTCCATGCTCTGGTTATCTCCTGGTTAGACTACTGCCATGTACTATACATGGGGCTACCTTTGAAGGTGACTCAGAAGCTGCAACTAACCCAGAATGTGGACCTAAACTAGTGACTGGTAGTAGCTGCTGAGACCACATATCACTGGTCCTAAAGGATCTTCCTTGACTCCCAGTGTATTTCTCAGCACAATTCAAACTGTTGGTTCTGACCTTTCATGTGTCATGGTCTTCTGCTGGTTCCCTCACTGTGAGAAGCGAAGTTCCAGGGAACCAGGCAGATGGCCTCCTGCCCCATGGAACGCCCTCCCTTCAGAGGTCAAGGAAATGAGCAACTATCTGACATTTAGAAGGCAGCTTAAGGCAGCTCTGTATCGGGAGGTTTTTAAATTTGGATGCTTTACTCTTTCTTATATGTTCTGTAAGCTGCCCAGAGAATAAATGCAATTGTTATTATTATCTTGTGACTTTTTGTAGTTATTTTGGAATTTGTACTGCAATATTAGCTTACGAAATGTTATGGGTGGAGAAAATCACAGGGTTGCCGTAAATTATAATCTCACCCACAAACTCTCATTCACACACAGTCTGTAAATTTGGGAAGATCACACACTTCACCTGTGCTAATACTGACAGTCTTTGGCCTGCACAGGCACACCCGGTGTGTAGAGCCTCCAGCCACAGGCACTGTCTATCATGAAAATGGGTCCTTTGACTGGGAAGATTCGTGCAATGGCTGTCATCAGATGCTGATAGGTTGTATCTCAGCTTGTCAGTCACTCTGACATTGCCTACAAAGAATAAGAGGAACAGAAATGCTTTTGAGCCATTCCATGGACTCTGCACCCCTGTTTCTGATGACAAGTGTACATTATCCTCATCCTCAATGAACCAGGCAGTGGAAACTACACTTAAAGATGGAAGCCTGAGAGAGAGGAAAAGGTTTCTGGCTGCTGTGGGAGAGCCAGTGTGGTGTAGTGGTTAAGAGTGGTAGTCTCGTAATCTGGGGAACCGGGTTCGCGTCTCCGCTCCTCCACATGCAGCTGCTGGGTGACCTTGGGCCAGTCACACTTCTCTGAAGTCTCTCAGCCCCACTCACCTCACAGAGTGTTTGTTGGGGGGGGGGAGGAAGGGAAAGGAGAATGTTAGCCACTTTGAGACTCCTTAAAGGGAGTGAAAGGCGGGATATCAAATCCAAACTCTTCTTCTTCTTCTGCTTCCTGGGTGGGATTGCGGAAACAAAGAGCCGCTTCTGAGAAGGCCTCCCCCCTCCCCTCTTCCTCTGGGGATTTCCTCTCCTCTCCAGGGGGAACAATGGTTGGACTGGGCAGAAGCGCTGTGTCTGGACAGGCAGGGGCTTATGGGGTGGAAGGAGGATGTAGGTTGCAGGAAGGAAGGAGTGGGGGGACAGAACCCCCAACTATCCAGGGATCCCTCTCTGGTCTCCTTCCTAAGCAGGAGGGAGAGGCCAAGGTGGCCCTTCCGGAGATTCCCCTTGGGTGCCACGATGGAGAGGTCTCCCCCCCCCACTTCCTCGGCCCCCTCCTTTTCTCCCAGATTCTCCCCTGCATCCTGTTATAAGAATTTTAAGGTCATAAATAATAATAAAAATGTTCATAACTGTATATATAAACCACATGTCTGAAACCCCACAGAAAAGGTCTTGCACAAATCGACCTCAAATATTTCTCTGCAAGTGGGAAACCTCCCCATTGTCTCTTTCCTCACAAATCCTGTCTAAAGGGCACATTCCAGATATGAACAGGATGTGAGCCTGTGACCTGTGACCTAGATTAAGGAATTAAGTAGTTATAATAACAAAAGAGTGGCCAAAACCCAGATATTTCTGTTGTAGACCACCTTTTCTGTGTTGTATGTATGATGTTTCTGGGGGTGGTCTTGGACTCCAGGGTGGGCAATTTAAAATGTCTATATAAGGGCGGGCACACCTTGATTCTGGGTCCTCCTCTCTTCTGCATGTGGTGAGGACCCTGTTAACAGTTGCCATGAATCGGATTTAAACTGATTTTATAATGAAACGATTTCAGAATGTTGTCTATTTTCCTGTTGTTAGCCATTCTGAGCCCAGCTTCGGCCAGGGAGGGCGGGATATAAATATTATTATTATTATTATTATTATTATTATTATTATTATTATTATTAAAGATCAGGCTTACTAGCTGCTTTGCTTCTCAGTATTCTCTGGTTGGTCTCTGTTAATTTTCTCCTACAGATAGAGAACCTACAAAAGGCTCTTGGGTAAAAAGGAGCAGTTTTTAAAACTTATATTAACCCAAAGACCCCACGTGGCTCGGCTCACCCCTCGCCGGGCGGTCCCATCTCTCCATCCGGAGGGGGCCACCAACACGCGCAAGGGAGGGGCAGGGGGGTCTCTATCCAGGCGTCTCTTGCGCCAGTTCACCTTCCCATAGCTCGCCTCTCTCCGCACGGAGCCAGTGGAAACGGGGCAAGGGGCGCTCGTGGGGACCCCCTGGGTGCGCGCCCCATGTCCGCCACTGCCAAGGCGCCTGAGGGGCCAAGGAAAGCCTCCTTCGCAGCACGCGTGCCGGGATCCAGGCCCTGCCACGGGGCCCACAGAAGGCGCTTGTGGGAGCTGGCGGGGGTCTCTGGGTCCTTTTCTCCCCTCTCTCCCCCCCCCCGCAACCCCTTTACCTCTTTGTCCTCGCTCCCGATTCTCCTTTCCTTTCCTCCAACATCCACAGGGGGGGGTCCGAAAGCGCGCCCCCCTATAGCTATGGGGCAGAGCAGCAATCCGGAGTGGAAGCTCCACATCCGGGAAAAGCAGGCAGTTTGGGAGGGGGATACCTTCCCCCCCATTCCTGGAGCAGAAGCCGGATTGGAGGAGGAGGAGGAAGAGGAGGAGGAAGGGGTGCAACATATGGGGGGCGGGAATTGGGGTTGTGGGGGCGGGGTGAGAGGAGGATGTGCCGGGAGGGGAGGGAAAGAATTGAGGGGGGAGGAGAGGAAGGTTTTCCCCCTCCCCCCTTCCTTCTGCGATCAGGAGAGCGGGGGAGGGGCTGATCCCGGAGATCCAGCTGCAAGTGGGGTCCCCTCCCCCACAATGTTTACATTGCAAAATCCTTCCCTCCCCCCCCCCCCGCCACGAAGTTAGATCCGTCCATGTTTTGGTGGACATTGAGCAGCAAGTTGGGCTCTGTGACTCCTGTGTTACGGGAAAAATGGAGCAGCACACACACATCCCGACAGCCAGGTAAAATTCCTCCCTTGTGTCTCCGTCAGAGGTAGCACAATGAGGCCCGGAAGAAAGCAAGGCAGCTGTTGATCTGTTTGCGCGCAGAGCCCCCCTCCATGCGAGGAGTGAAGCAGCCCAGAACTAAAGCGCGTTGCAATTTGTGCACCCTCAGATAGTAGCCCCCCCGTCACAGAGAGAGCACCCCAAAAACATCCCCGGTTGCGCCACAAAATGAGTTGTACCTGGAAATCAGATCAGAGTCCGAGTTCGTCTTTTGGCAACATGACAGGTCTGTCTGTCCGTCGGGATGCCTGGCGATTCCTGCTCGCTGCCTTTTCCTGGCCAGCCTGAGAGATCACTGGAAAGGGTGGATTTCTTGACTCCAGAATCCATCATCGCAGACCCCTTTCATTCAGGCCTAGAGATCTGCTCTTTCGCCCAGTCTGCTTGGATCATGTGGATCATCAATGGATTATATGGATCATCCATGATGTCATACCCATCTCACGGAGGGGGGGGGGTTCAGGAAGAATCTCCTGCCACGTGACTGGGGGAGTCTGGGGGCTGACGGGGGTCAGACAGGGCTGCTGTTTTGCTCTCCTTACTATTTCAGCTCAGGTTTTACTGAAATGGGTGGATTCATTGAGGAAACGGGGCTACGTTGCAAAGAGGCCAATGTGTATACTTTGTAACCACCCAGTGAGTTGTGTTGCAAAGGCCATTTGCAGAAGGGCTCCTATTGTATCACCTGCGGCTACATGCCAGAGTTTTGGTCTTTTTGCGGAAATGTGTCTGTGTAAATGCACTCATCCCCGTGCATTTATAATGGCATGACATTAAATCCCATGAGATCCACAAGCACCAGAACCATAAGCCCACATAGGAGTCCAAAAGCACAGAACGAAGCAGCCCTTTATCTCTGTGTTGTTGGCTATTAAAAGCTGGATGTCCAACAACAACAACATGTACAACAAGAACATTGTCTCTGGGCAGCTTCCAAAAGAATAGAAGAAAACATGACCCAACATGAAATATTAAAAGCTTCCCGATACGGAGCTGCTTTTAGGCGTCTATGAAGGTCGTATAATCAGTGGCGTAGTGTGGGGGGTGCAGGGGGGCCCGGCCGCACCGGGCGGAACATCTGGGGGGGGGCACGCTCGCACTCACAGCTCTCTGCCCCTACCTGGCTCACTCACTCACTCTCACTGCAGTGCTGGCTGGGCGAATCCGATCCGAGCCGCTGGGTCGCCGCCCACTGTGGAGGGGGGTGGGTGCCAGGCGTGTGGTGCGCAGAGAGAGCGAGGGACTATCTGGTGGAGGGACAGTGCAGCGGCCGCCCAGCGCAGCGCTGAGCGCGGGAGAGAACCACACCAGACCAGACCAGGCAGCAGCAAGAAGAAGCTGGCAGCGGGGGCAGGTTAGGGGTTAGGGGGCGCAAATTACTTGCCTTGCCCCAGGTGCTGACAACCCACGCTACGCTGCTGCGTATAATGGTTTATCTCCTTGACATCTGGTGGGAGGGCATTCCACAGGGCAGTCACGACAACAGAAAAGGCCCCCTGTAACCCCACTTCTCGCACTGAGGGACCTGCCAGAAGACCCTCGGAGCTGGACCTCGGTGTCCGGGCTGAGCGATGGACGTGGAGACACTCCTTCCCTTCTACTGGGCTGAGACCATTTAGGGCTTTCAAGGTCAGCGCCAGCACTTTGAATGGTCCTCGGAAAAGGACCGGGAGCCAGTGAAGATTTCTTAGGACCCTTAGGAGGCCTTTCAGCTGCTGTCCAAAACTGAATGTATCCCTTGCCGGAAGTAAACCATAAACCTCTCCTCCTCCGCCTTCTCGGGATGCCATTGGTGCGCGATGCTCCTGCTCTCGAGAGAGGGAGAGGCGTGAGTTGGGTGCGCTCGGCTTGCCAAGGGTTAAACAGAAACGAGCTAGATTCCTAGACAGGAAAGTAAGACGGGGGGGGGGGCAGGGTCCTCCAGAGCGAAAGCCCAGCCCCTCCCTTTCCTGCAAGAAGTCGGGCGTGTGGGGGTCCCATTGGTTCGGCTCTGCAGAGGCTGCCTGGGGGCGCCTGCTGGGATCCGGTGAGTCTCCTCTCTCCCAGGATAGGGCCCATGGGGAGAGCGGGGGGTCCCAGCGCTGCATGGCGAGAGGGGGGCAAGTCAGGGCGCGGAGGGTCGCAGGAGGGTGGCAGCTCTGCTCTTCCTTTGCATGAATGCGCTGCTGACCCCTTGGATCCAGGAGTGGGGAAATGCATGCAAATGAAACCCCATTCGGATGTATGGATCAGTCCCCTTGTATAACAGAGGTTGTCCGCGGACGGAAACATTCAGACATGAAATATACCCTGGTCCCTAAAACCTCACCTGTGCAAGGAAGGAAGGAAGGCAGAGAAGAGAAATCGCTTCCTCTTGCAGGGCAGAATAAAACCCGTGGAACTCCCTCCCACAAGAGGCAGGGAGGCCACCAATCAAGGTGGCGTTAAAAGAGGAGGAGGCCAATCAGTGGAGGAGGAGAGGGCAATGGGCAGCTCCTCTTCTCTGTCTCCCCTATAGGAGGGAGGCCTCTGGCCTGATCCTGAAGGGCCCATTTTCTCCTCCAGTGCTCAGTTCCTCCAGATGCAAGTTTGCCCTCTGAGATTGCCTGGGGTTGAGCTAGATGATCCTTGGGGTGCCATCCACCTCTACAGTTCCATGAAAGCACCACTGGAGGTCTCACAAGCCAAGGCATTGAGAGCAGGAGAGGTCCTGCTGGAAAGGAAACAACCAGTGCAACTGTTTTAAAACAGGAATCCAATGTGTTTGTTGTGGGGGGTATCAGTGGGGAGGGGCAGACCCCTGGATGCCACCTTGATCTCCTTGGACAAGGAGGTGGGAGAGAAATGCCATTCATAAAGAGAGGCAGCCCAGCCAATCATCTGGCTGCTGCATTTTGGGCCAGTTCCTGAGTTGCCTTCAAGGCAGTTCCACACAGAGAGCGTTGCCACCATCCCATCTGGTGCAGACCAGGGAGGACCAGGGCCATGTCCTCTCTGTCCCGAAAGGTCTGTGGGGTGGGGAAGTAGCCTGAGCTGGACATGGGCACCTGAGCCTCAAGCGACCATGATGGACCCAGGAGTGCCCTCAAGTATTCATGACTGGGGAGGGGGAGCGTTAAGCAATGTAACATCATCATCATTACTGTTAGTTCCCTGTCTGTAATCCGAATCTCCTAGAGCAGATTACGAAATTTTTAAAAACCAATAAAACAGTTGAAAACACATTACAGTGGTACCTCAGGTTAAGAACTTAATTCCTTCCGGAGTCCGTTCTTAACCTGAAACTGTTCTTAACCTAGACACCACTTTAGCTAATGGGGCCTCCTGCTGCCGCCGTGCGATTTCTGTTCTCATCCTGAAGCAAAGTTCTTAACCCGAAGTACTATATCTGGGTTAGTAGAGTCTGTAACCTGAAGTGTCTGTAACCTGAAGCGTCTGTAACCCAAGGTACCACTGTACTCTCATAGAAAGGCGAGTCCTACTTTATTTGCTTTTGAGTGCACACAGATGCACCCGTCTTGCATGCTTGAGTAAAGCAACTCCAGGGCAGGAGGAGAGTAGGGGCCACGTGTAGAGCAAGTCCCACACTGAGGTCAAAAACACACAGAGAAGCAGCAGGACTTCTTCGGTAATAGTTTACTGAGCTTTCAAAGCATACAGTTCTCACTGGGTCCCCAGTGAGGCACAAAACTTGGCTCCTGAGAGCAAACCAGTTTCAGCAATAGAAAAATACAGCACACAGGATATCCAAGTCAGGCACACAAACCGGCAGAAGGGAGCAAGGGAGGAAAGAGGCTGGAAGGACACAGGGCAATGGAGGTGTGCCTTTCGCTTCCTGTCGCCTGGGAGGGAAGTCAGCAACTCAGCATCTGCAGGGACTTCATGAAGAAAAGCTTCCAGGCAAATGGGCATCACAGAAATACACACTGTGATTCTAGGTATGTTGCCGTATCAATTGTTTTTGAAAGGTTATCACGATGTGGTCTAGAAACCAGTTTGGAACAATATATCGCCCGGCCCTAATCCTCACTGACCACCAGCAATCCAGATAAACACTCCTTTATAAATAAAGCACTTTTTGCAATCTTTTCATTTAAACTGCTTCTCCTCTTTGAGGTTGTTGATGGTTTGAAGGGTTTCAAGTACTAAAGTTCTTCTTGTCCGTGAGTCTGTTGATTTACAACTTCCACTAGGACTGAACCTCTATCTACTTTCCTCATATTTATAAGGTTTGTGTTTTGTGTGAGTTTGTTGACATAAATCAAGGGTTCCACTCTGACTGAAGCTGCTTCCACAGTCCATACATTTAAATGATTTCTCCGCTGTGTGTCTTGATGTTTTCTAAGGTGCCCACTCTGCCTGAAGCTCTGGTTTCTCCCCTGTGTGAATCTGTTGATGATTTCTAAGGTGTGCACTCTGACTGAAGCTCTTTCCACACTCCATACATTTATATGGTTTCTCCCCTGTGTGAGTCCGTTGATGGCTTCGAAGGGCTGCATTATCATTAAAGCTCTTTCCGCACTCCAAACATTTAAATGGTTTCTCCCCTGTATGAATCGGTTGATGTATATTGAGCTGTCTACTCTGACTGAAGCTCTTTCCACACTCCATACATTTATACGGTTTCTCCCCTGTGTGAGTCCGTTGATGGCTTCGAAGGGCTGCATTAAAACTGAAGCTCTTTCCACACTCCATACATTTAAATGGTTTCTCCCCTGTGTGAGTCCGTTGATGTCTTCTAAGGTCTCCACTCTGACTGAAGCTCTTTCCGCACTCCATACATTCATATGGTTTCTCCCCTGTGTGAGTCCGTTGATGTATTCTAAGCTTTCCATTATCACTAAAGCTCTTTCCGCACTCCATACATTTAAATGGTTTCTCCCCCATGTGAGTCCGTTGATGTAATCTAAGGCTTGCCTTGTAACTGAAGCTCTTTCCACACTCCATACATTTAAATGGTTTCTCCCCTGTGTGAGTCCATTGATGTTTTCTAAGGTCTCCACTCTGACTGAAGCTCTTTCCACACTCCAGGCATTTAAATGGTTTCTCTCCTGAGTGAGTCCATTGATGTGTTCTAAGGTGTCCATTGAAAAAGAATCTCTTTCCACACTCCAAACATTTAAATGGTTTCTCTCCTGTGTGAGTCCGTTGATGTCTTCTAAGTTTTCCATTATCAATAAAGCTCTTTCCACACTCCAAACATTTATATGGTTTCTCCCCTGTGTGAATCCTCTGGTGCAATTTAAGATTACTATTCTTACTGAAGCTCTTTCCACACTCCATACATTTAAATGGTTTCTCCCCTGTGTGAGTTTGTTGATGGCTTCGAAGGGTTGCATTGAAACTGAAGCTCTTTCCATGCTCCGTACATTTAAATGGTTTCTCCCCTGTGTGAGTCCGTTGATGTCTTCTCAGGCTTCCACTATCACTAAAGCTCTTTCCACACTCCATACATTGAAATGGTTTCTCCCCTGTGTGAGTTTGTTGATGGCTTCGAAGGGCTGCATTGAAACTGAAGCTCTTTCCACACTCCAAACATTTAAATGGTTTCTCTCCTGTGTGACTTTGTTGATGCCTTCTAAGTGTTCCATTCTCAATAAAGCTCTTTCCACACTCCATACATTTAAATGGTTTCTCCCCTGTGTGAGTCCATTGATGTTTTCTAAGGTCTCCACTCTGACTGAAGCTCTTTCCACACTCCAGGCATTTAAATGGTTTCTCTCCTGAGTGAGTCCATTGATGTGTTCTAAGGTGTCCATTGAAAAAGAATCTCTTTCCACACTCCAAACATTTAAATGGTTTCTCTCCTGTGTGAGTCCGTTGATGTCTTCTAAGTTTTCCATTATCAATAAAGCTCTTTCCACACTCCAAACATTTATATGGTTTCTCCCCTGTGTGAATCCTCTGGTGCAATTTAAGATTACTATTCTTACTGAAGCTCTTTCCACACTCCATACATTTAAATGGTTTCTCCCCTGTGTGAGTTTGTTGATGGCTTCGAAGGGTTGCATTGAAACTGAAGCTCTTTCCATGCTCCGTACATTTAAATGGTTTCTCCCCTGTGTGAGTCCGTTGATGTCTTCTCAGGCTTCCACTATCACTAAAGCTCTTTCCACACTCCATACATTGAAATGGTTTCTCCCCTGTGTGAGTTTGTTGATGGCTTCGAAGGGCTGCATTGAAACTGAAGCTCTTTCCACACTCCAAACATTTAAATGGTTTCTCTCCTGTGTGACTTTGTTGATGCCTTCTAAGTGTTCCATTCTCAATAAAGCTCTTTCCACACTCCAGGCATTTAAATGGTTTCTCCCCTGTGTGAGTTTGTTGATGCCTTCTAAGGGTTGCATTGAAACTGAAGCTCTTTCCACGCTCCATACATTTAAATGGTTTCTCCCCTGTGTGAGTCCTTTGATGTCTTCTAAGGCTTCCACTGTCACCAAAGCTCTTTCCACACTCCATACATTGAAATGGTTTCTCCCCTGTGTGAGTCCGTTGATGTCTTCTAAGGCTTCCACTATCACTAAAGCTCTTTCCACACTCCATACATTGGAATGGTTTCTCCCCTGTGTGAATCCTCTGGTGCAATTTAAGATTACTATTCCGACTGAAGCTCTTTCCGCACTCCATACATTTAAAAGGTTTCTCACCTGTATGTGTCCGTTGATGTAAAGTTAAGTGTCCCCTCTGACTGAAGTTCTTTCCACACTCTGTGCATTGAAATCGTTTCTTGCCCATGTGAGTCCGCTGATGTCTTCTAAGTTTTCCACTATCAGTGAAACTTTTTCCACTCTCCATACCTTTAAATGGTTTCTCCCCTGTTTGAGTTCATTGATGTGAGATATGTGTGCTCATTCAGTGAAGCATATTCCACATTTCACACTTTTTAATGGCTATTCCTAATGAAACGAAAGGTTCCCCATCTCCCGGAATTCTGACTGTCTTCTGTATCACCTTCTTCAGAATGGGCGGAAAGGAAATCCTATTTTGGTTTCAAGGAAGAGAACAAAGGGAAAGAGAACACATCAAATGCCATTAGCAGCTTTTCTTATTTTAACATTTCCTATATTCCCCCGCATCCTACCCATGTTCCCAGTTTTTAGGAAATGAAGATGCAATGATGTCAAATGATAGTAATGCATCACCACCTTTCATAATCCTCAATCATTGTTAATAGCGCAGCATGATCTTGGAATACAGCCTTTCCAAATCAATTGTTTTCTCACAAGGAAAGGCAGCTGCTCTCTGTCCATGAAGAGGCCCCCCTTTTCTCTGGTTTATTGTTCCTTTGGACATTTCCCATCCTCGGCATCATAATCCTCCATCCACCTCCCTCCCTCCCTCTCTCTCCCTCCCTCTCTCTCTCTTTTTAATCAGTTTTTACTAATTTTCATTATTACACATACACATAGAATACATACACTCATTATACATTTATCCATCCACCTAAGCCTTAAGCTCTGCCGAGCTTCGGACTTCCCTCCATCTCTTCAGTAAGTATCATATAGTTATAACATCACGTATTCTATTTAATACTATTTTGTCTTATGCCGTTAGAGTTTCTCCAACCCTGCCAGTGGCTTTAAAGTTTTACCATTTTCTCTTACATATACCAAATATTTACTCCAATTTTCAACAAACTTCTTTTCATCTTGGTCCCGTATTTTTCCTGACAATCTAGCAAATTCTGCGTAATTCATCATTTTGGTCTGCCATTCCATGATTGTAGGTAGAGTATCAGTTTTCCAGTTCTGGGCCAACATAGTTCTAGCTGCTGTCGTGGCGTACAAGAAAAGATTTTTATCCTTCTTTTTAATTTCCTTCCCTTTCAATCCCAATAAAAAGGCTTCAGGTTTTTTTAGAAAAGATTTTTTTGTACTTATATATATATTTATTTATTATAAATATTTTTTATTAATTTTCCAACATACATTTATACTATCCAATCTAAATTTATCACATATTTTCTCTTTTGGACTTCCTTCAGCCTCTCTAACAATCATCCATTATTCAATTTTTTAATTACACATTTCCTAATTTTTATATTGCAATTTATATACCTTCACCCTCTTATTTTTCTTCTACACAATATTCCTCAAACATTCACAGAGCTTTTTGAAATCCCACTAGCGTTGTTTGCTCATAACATATACATTTCAAATAATCTGAAAATTTCCCCCAATCTTCGATGAACTTTTGGTCTCGTAGATATCTGATCTTCCCCGTTAGTTTATCTAGTTCTGCATAGTCCATCAGTTTTGTCAGGGAACTGCCATCGGAGGAACAGGTGGTGGATGGGCTCATGGAGGCTGGGAGAGACTCAGCAGCTGAAGCAGGAACCAGCAGGGGGAGGAGTGGATCTCTGAGGGAATGCGAGCAGGAGGGAGGGCTCAGGGACACGTCCAGCGAGAACAGTGGGGAGGTATCTGAAGCTCCCATAGGGAGACCCACGCCTCGCCGGAAACTGTCACGCCGCGAGTCCAGAAGACGTGTTTCCGTTAAGGAGCTTTTATGCTGGAAACGATTCCGAAAGCAACCACTGTCGGAATCTGCAAGTGACTAGAGCAGCCATGTCTGAGGGGCTCCGTCACAGACAGAGGTTTGTGAACGTGCACAGACTCTGAGGGACTACGCTTTTACGCACAAGCAGCTCATCATCCCATCACAGCATTCCGACAGTCTTTGTAAGCTGCTGGTGCAGGAAAAGGCATCATGAGTGACCCAGCCGGAACCGGAGAAGCAGGGGTTGGAGCTGGTCCAAGCTTGGAAGAAAGGTACCGAGCGTTGGAGATCCAACTGGCGCTGCAGACGGCGAGGCTTGAGGAGAGAAGGGCTCAGGATGCAGACAAGAAGGGGAAAACCACCCAGTTCACCAGAAAGGTACCAGGATTGGTGCAGAAGTTTGGGGGGGGGACCCCAAGGACTACCATGCCTTTAGAACAGAGATGCAATATGCCCTCAATGTGCAGTTTGAGGAATTCCCTGACGAGGAATCGTGAGTGGCTTTCGTGATTGGGCATCTTGAAAGGGGGGCGCGGGACTGGGTTCGGCCCCTGATGGCAACGCATAATGACGTCCTAAAGGACACAATGAAGTTCTTTCGTGCAATGGATCTCATGTTTTCCAGCGATATTGAGCAGGGAGTGGTGCGCAGACAGCTAATGGCTTGCAAGCAGGGAAGCCGATCTGTCCGTGAGTACTGGACTGAATTCACCATGCTGGTGCACAGATTGGGGTGGGACTTATCGGCGGAACCCATTCAAATGCTGTTTGAAGAAGGTCTTGCTTCGGCGGTGAAAGATGAACTTTCCCCGGGGCCCAGGGCGGATTCTATGGACCAGCTAACCAAATCTGCGCTGACCATAGGAGCGCGCCAGGAGGCGAGAGCCTTGGAGAGGCGGGAAGGGAAGGGGGAACGTTGCAAGGAGTTCCGCATTCCAGACATTCCAGAGCTAGCTTTCCCGCCGGCAGAGCCGATGGAAATCAGAACAGCGCGCGCGCGCGCAGTTTCAAAGCCCAGTGAAGGGGGGAAGAAGGAGGGAAAAGGCGCCCGGAAATGCTATCTCTGCCAACAGCCAGGTCACTTTGCCAGAGTATGCCCCCAGAGGAAGGAATGGCAAGGGATGGTGGGAGCTGTTGAGGGAGGAGTGGAGGAAATACCGGAGCAAGTAAAAGCCAACGCCTGGCTGCCACCGTCGGGGCACAGCAGCCAGGCCAAAGAGCAGTGAAAGTGCCCACGCCAGAACCTCCTAAACCTGCCCTAGTGATAGAAGTGTCACTAGAGTTGCAAAACGGATACCCTCTAAAGATAAAGGCGCTGTTGGACTCAGGCAGCTCCTGCAATTTCATGAGCAAAGAGTTTGCAGCTGAACACCAGATACGGGCGATCCCTTTAAGCAATCCCCTGCAGGTGACCACGATCGATGGCAGGGAACTGTTGGGAGGAGAAGTCAGCTTGCAGACCGTCCCAATGATAATGAAGGTGGCAAGGCACACAGAACTGATAGCGTTTAATGTGGCCACCTTGGGAGGGGCTCCCATTATTTTGGGGATGAGCTGGCTGGCGTTACATGATCCGCTGGTGGGCTGGCATCAGAGAGTGGTTTCCTTTGGTTCCGCACATTGCTTAGAACACTGCAAGGAGGGAAAGGGTTCAGCAGGAGCCCAAGCTACCCTAGCAGGGACGGAAGTAACGGAGAAAGTGAAGGTACCACGACAATATGCAGATCTCAGCGACGTGTTCAGCGAAAGAGAAGCTGACCAACTACCACCGCATAGACCCTTTGATTGTCAAATCAATTTACTGCCTGGGGCACAGCTCCCTGTAGGCAAGTTGTATGCCATGTCAGACAGAGAGATACAGGTGCTAAGAGAGTTTATTGACAAAAACCTGAAGAGAGGTTTCATCAGAGAGTCAAGAGCGGTGGGAGGTAGCCCAGTGTTTTTTGTGGATAAAAAAAACACGGACAAGCCGAGACTTGTGTGTGACTTTAGGGCCTTGAACGCAGTGTCAGAGCCACTGGCTTTCCCCATGCCTAGGATCGATGACATTTTGAACAGGGTGCGGAAGGGAAAGATTTTTACAAAGCTGGACCTAAGGGGGGCGTACAACCTGATACGTATAAGGAAAGGGGATGAATGGAAAACCACCATGTTCACCCCTTTGGGGGCATTTGAATATTTAGTTATGCCATTTGGATTACAAGCAGGCTCGGCGTGCTTCCAATCATTTATGAACCACGTACTGGGGCCTCTGCTTTACAAGAATTGTGTGGCCTTCCTAGATGATGTGTTGGTGTATTCAGAGAATGAGGAGCAACATGTGAGAGACGTCAGAGAAGTGTTGAGCAGGCTGCAGGCCAACCGGCTGTGGGTGAAACTGGAGAAGTGTCAGTTTCATACCAAGGAGGTGGAGTTCCTGGGGTACCGCCTGTCAGACAAGGGATTGGCCATGGATCCCGGCAAGGTCCAGGCAGTGCTGGAATGGAAAACACCCAGAACAAAGAAGGATGTGCAGAGGTTCCTAGGGTTTGGGAACTTTTATCGGAAGTTCATCCGCAACTTTGCCCACCTGACGGCGCCCATTACGGACTGTCTCAGCAGTAAGAAGAAATTCGTTTGGACTGAGAAGGCAGGGCGAGCTTTTGAGAAACTAAAAAGGGCCTTCGCCTCTGAAGAACAACTTCTGCATGTGGATTTACAAAAAAAGATGAGAGTCGAAACAGACGCATCAGACAGAGCCATAGGGGCGGTGCTTCTTCTGCAGCCAGGGAAGGAGGAGTCAGAGTGGAGACCGTGTGCCTTTTTTTCGCGAAAGCTGAACAAATCTGAGAGGAACTACACGGTGTATGACCGAGAACTTCTTGCTATTCATGAGGCTTTCCGGAGATGGAGGCACCTGCTAATTGGCGCACAACATAAGGTGCAAGTGTGCACTGACCACAAGAACCTGGAGTATTGGAGAACGGCACGAGTGCTCAACCAACGGCAGTTGAGGTGGGCCCAGGAGTTCTCCAAATTTAACTTTGAGATTCGTTACGTGCCAGGCCCAGAGAACGTTAGGGCGGATGCTCTCTCACGCAAACCTGAATATTTGGAGGGGGAGGGAGCACCCGAAGAAAGACATGTCATTCCAGAGGACCGCTGGGTGTGTGGGGCGGCATTGGTGGGGCAAAGAGAACTGGTAGAGGGAACGGAGAATGATGAATACGCCCAGGACAAACTCAGGGGTCTCAGGAGGGAGGGAGATAAACCCGGAGGTTTTGAGGAGAGAAACGGGGCGTTGTACTACAAGGGAGCGTTATATATACCTGAAGGAGAGTTGAGGGGGAAGGTACTCAAGCAGCTGCACGATAGCCCCACAGCGGGGCATTTTGGGCAACACAGAACCATGTGGCTGGTTACCAGGGAATTTTGGTGGCCCAAGGTCAGGGAAGACGTGCGGGAGTATGTGAGGGGTTGTGACCAATGCCAGCGAGCCAAAGGGGAAAGGCGGGCGCCGGCAGGGTTATTAGAACCGCTACCCACACCTGAAAGACCATGGGAAGCAGTGGCCATAGATTTCATGACTGATCTGCCAAGGTCCAGAGGGAAAACAGCCATCATGGTTGTGGTAGACCTGTTAACCAAAATGGCCCACTTTATAGCCTGCTCACATGCTGTCACGGCAGAAGAAACAGCTAAATTGTTTGTAGAAAATGTGTTTAGGTTGCATGGCGCCCCCTTGAGGGTGGTTTCTGACCGAGGGAAACAATTTACTTCCAGGTTCTGGAGGAAGCTCATGAGCTTACTGCATGTAGAGGTCAATTTCTCGACTGCCCGGCATCCTGAAACCAATGGGCAGGCGGAAAGAGCCAATGGCATCCTCCAGCAATATTTGAGGTGTTATGTCAATGACAGAGAGAATGATTGGGTGGAGAAGCTGGCGTTGGCGGAATTGGCCTACAACAATGCGGAGAACGTGTCCACGGGGATGAGCCCCTTTTTGGCTAATTACGGGTGCCATCCCAGGGCTTTCCCAGGGGGGGAAGGGGAGAGATGGAGCGTTCCAGCTGCCGAACAGTTCGTAGAAGAAATGGAAGCGATCCATCGCCAGCTCCAACTTAACTTAGACAGGGCCAAGGAGGAATATAAGAGGCAGGCAGACAAAAACAGAAGAGAAGGTGAAACCATTAGGGTGGGGGACCAAGTGTGGCTGTCAACCCGAGGGTTACCCTTCAAAGGGGGTTGTAAGAAGTTAAGACCCAAAAGATTGGGCCCATTTGAAATCACACAACAGGTCAACCCAGTGGCTTTCAGACTCCGGTTACCGAACCACATGAAGCTGCACCCAGTTTTCCACAGGTCATTGCTGTCACCGTATAAAGGGGACAGAGAAGGGAGGGTCACTCGGGGACCAGCAATGGAGGAAAGGGAACAAAGCTACCAGGTAGCGGAGATCCTCGATTCCAGGTGGAAGGGAGATCAAGTAGAGTATTTGGTAATGTGGGAAGGGGAACCGGAGTCGGAAAACACCTGGGTCAGGGCAGAGGATGTCAATGACGAGGTTTTAATAGAAACTTTTCATCAGAGGTTCCCACGCAAGCCTCAGCCTGTAGCGAGGTTCCGGAGGGAATACTTTGCCACCACCGACGAAGAAGAGGAGTTGGAGGGGTTCACAGATTCCGAGGAGGAGGAGGATTCAGCGAGCCGGAACGGCGACCGATGGAGGGAAATGTTCGAGACGTCTGAAGATGAAGAAGATTCTTTTCGGGGTTTTACCTCCTCACCTCCCAGAGGAGAGGGAACGGGAGGGGGTGAAGGGGGCCCTGGAGGGGAGGTGGATGTCAGGGAACTGCCATCGGAGGAACAGGTGGTGGATGGGCTCATGGAGGCTGGGAGAGACTCAGCAGCTGAAGAAGGAACCAGCAGGGGGAGAGGTGGGTCTCTGAGGGAATGCGAGCAGGAGGGAGGGCTCAGGGACACGTCCAGCGAGAACAGTGGGGAGGTATCTGAAGCTCCCATAGGGAGACCCACGCCTCGCCGGAAACTGTCACGCCGCGAGTCCAGAAGACGTGTTTCCGTTAAGGAGCTTTTATGCTGGAAACGATTCCGAAAGCAACCACTGTCGGAATCTGCAAGTGACTAGAGCAGCCATGTCTGAGGGGCTCCGTCACAGACAGAGGTTTGTGAACGTGCACAGACTCTGAGGGACTACGCTTTTACGCACAAGCAGCTCATCATCCCATCACAAGTTTCATTCTCCATTCTTCTAACGTCGGTAGTTGTTCCTGTTTCCATTTTGGGGCCAGTAGTATTCTCGCTGCAGTTACTGCGTATTGGAAAAGTTTACAGTCCTTTCTATTTATCTCATTTCCTACTATTCCTAAAAGAAAAGCCTCTGGTTTCTTAACAAATGTATATTTCAACATCTTTTTCAACTCATTATATATCAGTTCCCAGAAACCCTTCACCTTCTTGCAATCCCACCACATATGGTAAAATGTTCCCTCTTTTTCTTTACATTTCCAACACTTATTACATGTTTTATACATTTTTGCCAATTTTACGAGTGTAATATACCATCTATAAACCATTTTCATAACATTTTCCTTTAACGCAGTGCATGCCATAAATTTTATATTTTCATTCCATAATTTTATCCAGTCATTGAACTGTATACTACAACCCAAATCTCTGGCCCAGTGTATCATAACCGATTTAACTTCCTCGTCTTTTGTATACCATTCCAGCAACATTTTATACATTTTAGATAAAATTTTGTACTCATTATTTATTATTTCCATTTGAAATTTTGATTCTTTTTCATCAAAACCTCTTTCTTTAAAATCCTTTTTAAACATTTCATTAACCTGATAATAATGCAAGCAATCATATACATGCTCCTTCACATCTTCATAAGGTTCCATTTTCCATTTTCCTGCTTCTTTTACTATCAATTCTTTATATGTAATCCAGTTCCCCCTTAAATTGACTTTCTTAAGACTCATAACTTCTAACGGAGATAGCTAGTGGGGAATTCTTGGTTCTAATAAACTTTTATACCTCTCCCATATTTAAATGTCAAATATCTTTAATACGGTCAGTGACCAGGAAGCAAAATATATATATATATATATATATATATATATATATATATATATAAATAAAAGACATTAAAAGTAGCATTGTGCTACAAATAACAGTACAAATATGGCCAATTCACAGAATTGGTGCTTATATTTATGACCAGGTTTCGACTTCTAAGGTTTTTAAAAATTCAATTCAGGTGTCTCTCCCATATTTCTATGAGAGATCTTCTAAAGATGTGGTTTTCGAAACCTTTATGGATTTTTTTCTTCTCACACCATAAATATGGGTGCCAGCCAAATCTGTTATCAAAACCTTCTAAATCTAACAAATCAGTATTTTTTAACTTTATCCATTCCTTCAATCAACAGAGACATGAAGCTACATAATATAATTTCAAGTCTGGCAGGGTGAAGCCTCCTCTTTCTTTCGCATCCGTTAATAACTTAAACTGAATTCTTACCCTGCCAGATATATCTTGAAATTGCTCTTTGCCATTCTTTAAAGATCACTGTCCCCTTGATTATTGGAATTGTCTGAAACAAAAACAACATCTTTGGCAGCACGCTCATCTTAATCATTGAAATTCTCCCCCAAAAAGATAACTTCATTCGACCCCACACCTCTAGATCTTTCTTTATTCCCTTCCACACTGGCTCATAGTTATTCTGAAACAAATCAAGATTCTTAAGGGTTAACCAGATTTCCAAATGTTTAACTTTTTTCACCACTTCTATCCCTATTTGTTGTTGCATTTGTTTCTATCATACCTTGTTCCATATTTTTTGTAAGTATTTTGGTTTTTTTCTTATTTAATATAAACCCTGCCACTTGACCAAATTGTTCAACTTCTTCTAAAACTACTTTTGCACTTTCCAGCGGTTCTTCCACTGTTATTACCAGATCATCAGCAAAGGCATTTACTTTATACTGATTCTGGCCTACTGACACACCTTTTATTGCTTCATTTCTCCTTATTGAATTTAAGAAAATTTCCAGAACCATTATGAATAACATTGGTGAGAGAGGGCATCCTTGTCTCGTACCTTTTGATATTTTTAATTCTTCTGTAGTCCTGTTGTTTACAATAAGCTTCGCTCTTTGTTCAGTATATATCGCTTTTATTCCATTAAAGAATTCTTTCCCCACTTCCATATATTCTAATTTTTTTAACATAAAGTCCCAAGAAATGTTATCAAAGGCCTTTTCTGCATCCACAAATATTAATGCAGCTTGTTTCTCATTCCTGGCTGTCAGATATTCTAACAAATTAATTATATTCCTTATATTATCTTTCATCTGTCTGCCAGGAAGGAAACCCGCCTGGTCTTTATGAACAATTTCTTGTAATATCTTTTTCAACCTCTTCGCTAAGATACTTGCAAAAATTTTGTAGTCCGTATTTAGCAATGAGATAGGCCTGTAATTTTTAACTTGAGTCAAATCAGAGTCTTGTTTTGGAATTAGTGTAATAAAAGCTCCGGCATTTCTCTATCCTGAAGAATATTGTTCATGACTTCTCTCAGCGGTGTAGACAGGATGTGCCTCATTTCTTTATAGAAGAAGAAGAAGAAGAGTTTGGATTTGATATCCCGCCTTTCACTCCCCTTCAGGAGTCTCAAAGCGGCTAACAATCTCCTTTCCCTTCCTCCCCCACAACAAACACTCTGTGAGGTGAGTGGGGCTGAGAGACTTCAAAGAAGTGTGGCTGGCCCAAGGTCACCCAGCAGCTGCATGTGGAGGAGCGGAGACGCGAACTCAGTTCCCCAGATTACGAGTCTATCGCTCTTAACCACTACACCACACTGGCTCTATAATAACTTGCTGTAAATCCATCTGGTCCTGGAGCTTTCCCTTTTTTCAACTCTTTTATGGCTTCTTTAATCTCTTCCATTTCTATAGGGGCGTTCAGCCTTTCTATCTTTTCTGTCGGGATCTTCTGCACCTTTTTTTCTTTTAAAAATCTTTCTGTTTTTCTCATGTTATTTTTCTCTTTACTATTATATAAATGTCTGTAAAAGTCCAAGAATCCTTTTCTGATACCTTTTGGATTAACTATCTCTTCTCCTTCTATGATGATTTTATTTATTGTATTCTGTTCCTTTCTTTTCTTAATTTGCTATGCCAGCCATTTGCCTGATTTATTTGCCAATTCAAAGTTCCTTTGTCGCAATTTTTTTATATTCCACTCCACTTCTTTATTTATTATCATAGCTGTCAGGGGCTCAGGAGCAGAGGGACAGGAAAGGGAGGAATTAGAGACCGAGGGGGAGGAATCCGAGGGAGAAGTAAGCGATGATAGCAGCCCGAGGTCTCTAAGTCTCTCCAGTGAATCGGAGGATTCACAGAAAGGGGCTCCCGTGGTCAGAGCTAGGGGGTTGCCAGAGGGAACACCCCAGGAAGGAGGGGCCAGAGGGGACTCAGAGAGCAGCAGCTGGAAATCGGGACCAGCTTCCCCACCGGAGAGCAGCAGGGGGGAGGAGTCCCAGGCATCGGGATCAGGCAGCTTCACCGCCAGAGGGAGGACATGAGTCAGGGTTAGCCACGCCTGCATCAGAGAGCGAGGAAACGGTCAAAAGGAAGGTCGGAGGCAGCGCGCGCGCGCCAAGTTCAAATGTACAAGAGGGTGGCGCAATGAGCAGCCCGGATAGAGAGCCAGGTCCTAAAGCCCGCCGAAGGGAGGGGGAAGAGTCCGAGGGGTCCGCCTCCGAAGCGTCCAGGAAGGAGGGGACCCCGGGGGGTGGTAGGACCCAGAGGCGGAAGGAGAGACGGAAAAGGTGGAGTAAGGCTAGAGTCTTAAGGTGGTGTACAGGGGGCGGAGATTCAGACGGAGCTTCGTCGGTCTAGGCTCTAGACGTAGAGAAGCACGCTAGGGTTTGAAAATGGAAACTATGCTTCAATAAAGACTTTTGTACAGTTCTACTGGCTAGCGTTGGTCCTCTGTGAGCTGGGACCTGGAGGCAGTCTCTGACAGTAAGCTCCGTCTCCATTTTCATCGGTTTTCTTTGCCTTAAGCCTCGCTAAGGGAGCGAGGCAGGGAGGGAAGAAGACTGGTGCTTTGCGAGCTCACAAGAGTCAGGCGACATGACTACTGAACAGCAAATAGCTTCCCTGCAAGAAGCGGTGACACAACTCAGCGCGGAAATAATCGCATCCAGGAAGAGAGAAGACGAAGCGGCTGCTGCCTGCAGGGATCTTCAAGCCAGGTTGGAAGTGCTTGCGAAGCAGGGGCAACCGGGACCCAGATCCGAGGGGATAGGGTTGGGGAAGAGAGGAGGCAGCCTTGTATCTCATTTCGATGGGAATTTACAGCAGTACCCCAATTTCAGAGCAGACGTGCTGTTTGCGCTGCAACTGCTGGATAAAGACTTTAGAGATGAACAAGAGAAGGTGGGGTTTATCTTGTCCCATTTGCATGGGGACACGAAAGCATGGCTGCGCAACCTGTGGAGAGATGAGGATCCAGCGCTCCGAAGTGCAGATGCCTTCATTAAAGCAATGGATTCCTGTTTTTTATCAAACATAGACATTGACATTGCCCGGAAGGACATACATGGGCTACAACAAGGGAGAGCCGGCGTAAGGCAGTATCATTCCCGCTTTTTTGCCTTAGTCAACGCGCTGGGTTGGGATAAGGATTCTCCGCCAGTTAGAGACCTCTTTTGGGAGGGATTGAACCCAAATATCAAGGATGAGATTGCAAGGGGGGAAAGACCCACAAGCACTCAGCAAGTGGTTGAAAGGGCGCTAACGGTTGGGGTGCGGCTGGAAGAACGCCCATGGAGCAAAGAAGAAGGGCGTTGGGGACGCACAACAGCGAGAGTGCCCCCCCTCTTGCCCAGGGATGCAGCGCGTGCGCAGTCCACACCTCCACAGGGAGGGGGCGAAGAGCCGATGGAGATTGGCGGTGCTAGGGCTCAATCAGCGACCAGAGCCTTAACACCGGGAGCAGTCAAAACGAAGCCGCCTAGAGGGAACAGGAAGTGTTATATCTGTGACAGTGGACAGCACATGGCGAAAGAGTGTCCCCAGAGGCTCCACAAGCACACTGCAGCTTCAGTGACAGTAATGGAAGCAATTCAGCAGAGAGAACCACAGCAGGGAAACGACGGAGTCTGGCTGGAAACGGAGGCACTGGGGCCCAGCCAGACAAGTCAGTGAAGAAGTCCCCAGAGATTTTGCAGCCCACGGACCCCCTCCCGCCCAAACCAGTGGTGCAGCTCACCGCATCGCTCCAGCTACCCAATGGACTCAACTTAGAAGTGCCTATTACGATTGACTCTGGCAGTAATGCAGACTTTATTGGAATGGAGTTCATTCAACAACACAACATAGCGCTACTGCCAGCCACGCTGCCCCTGAAGGTTGTCACGGTGGATGGCAGGGAACTGCTGGGGGGGCAGGTGGTACAGCAGACGCCACCTATGGTGATGCAGATTGGGAATCACGGGAAGTCATCAGCTTCAATGTCACCCAATTGTCGGACACGCCTGTAGTTTTGGGCATGAGTTGGCTGTACAGGCACAGTCCAGCAGTGGCTTGGTACCAACGCCAACTGACTTTTGGCTCCTCCTACTGTGCGGAACATTGCATTATACCTAGCCCAGAAGGGGAAGAGGATGACCCGCAGTTACATTTGGGCACGCTGCAAGCAGTGCCCCTCAAGTATGCGGAGTTTTTGGAGGTATTCTGCGAGAAGGAGGCGGACAAGCTACCCCCTCACAGACCCTATGACTGCAAGATTGACCTCCTGCCGGGGGCGACGCTGCCAACCGGGAAACTATATTCCATGTCTGAGGATGAACTGCAGGAACTCAGGGAGTTCATTGATCACAATTTGAAGCGCGGGTTCATCCGGGAGTCGAAAGCTGTGGGGGGCAGCCCAGTATTCTTTGTGAAGAAGCGGGACACGCCCCAAAAAAGACTTGTGGTGGACTATAGAATTTTGAACTCGAAAACCAAGCCCTCGGCCTTCTCCATGCCCAAGATAGACGACCTGCTCGCGACGGTGAGGAAAGGATGCGTTTTTACCAAGTTGGATCTGCGAGGGGCGTACAACCTGATTCGCATGCGGGAAGGCGACGAGTGGAAGACGGCCATGTTCACGCCACTGGGCACCTACGAATACAGAGTTATGCCCTTCGGATTACAAAATGGCTCTCACTGTTTTCAAGCATTCATGCATCATGTGTTGGCGGGACTCCTTTACAAGAAGTGCGTATGCTTCCTGGACGACATCCTGATATTTTCAGAATCGCGAGATGCGCACGAGAAGGATGTCAGGGAAGTTCTGCAGAGACTGAAGGAGCACAGGCTGTACGCCAAGCTGGAGAAGTGCCAGTTCGACATGACGGAGGTGGATTTCCTGGGCTACAAACTGTCGGACAAGGGGCTCGCCATGGACAGCGCCAAGGTTCGCGCAGTATTGGACTGGAAAAGCCCACGCAATTGGAAGGAAGTCCAGCGGTTTGTCGGCTTTGCCAACTTTTACCGCAAGTTCATCAAGGGGTTTGCTATGCAGACGGCGGCCATCACCGACACGCTCAGCTCCAAGAAGAAGAAATTCATCTGGACGGAGCAAGCGGAGCAGTCCTTTCAGAAACTCAAACGTCTCTTCGCGTCCGAAGAGCAGCTGCTGCATGTTAATCCCAGCAGACCGATGAGGGTGGAGACAGACGCCTCAGACAGAGCCGTGGGAGCCGTCCTGTTGCAACAAGACCAGCAGGGGGACTGGAGGCCGTGCGCCTTCTACTCGAGGAAGCTCAGCAAGTCGGAGCAGAATTACACCATCTGGGACAGGGAGTTGCTAGCAGTCCATGCAGCGTTCAAGGCATGGCGGCACTTCCTTATCGGAGCCAGACACACAGTGCAGGTCCACACGGACCACAAGAATCTGGAGTACTGGCGCACGGCAAGGTTCCTGAACCAGAGGCACATTAGATGGGCAGAGTTCTTCGCGGACTTCGACTTCAAGATAGAGTACATCCCAGGCGACAACAACGTGATGGCGGATGCATTGTCAAGAAAACCGCAATACCTCGAGGAGGCGGCACCAGCGGCGGCCAAGCACATTTTCGCACCGGAAGCGTGGGCATGCGCTTCGGCAACCGTGGACCTGGACGCCGTACGTCGCAAGCTGCAAGACGACCCCTTCGCGCAAGCCAAGATGGAGGAGGTGCACAAGGGCACAGCGAAGGACGACGAGTTCCAGATAAGAGATGGGTTACTCATCCGCAAGGGAGCACTCTACGTGCCGGGAGACGACCTCCGCGCAAGGGTACTGCAGCAACTACACGACGCTCCCACCGCCGGGCACTTTGGCAAAGAAAAGACTGTAGAACTAGTAGCCAGAGACTTTTGGTGGCCCAAGATGTGGGGGGAAGTAGCGGATTACGTCTCGAGGTGCGACACCTGCCAAAGGGCCAAATCAGTGCACAAACCGCCGGCGGGACTGCTGGAACCGCTGCAGACACCGGTTGAACCGTGGGAGAGGGTGGCCCTGGACTTTGTCACGGATCTACCGAGTTCGAGGGGAAAGACGGCAGTGCTAGTGGTGGTGGACATGTTTACCAAAATGGCACACTTCATTCCGTGTGCGAAGGTGGCCACGGCAGAACAG